TTCTATTAATATTACTGTTCTATATTGACAGTAATTGACTTTTAGGTCTTATGTAGTTTAATTATAATGTCTCAGTATAATTATCTTGTTTTTATTTGATTTGTGAATGTTGACTTTCCTTATGGTTGTACCTTCAAAGAGCCTTGAAACTATATATATTTAGGTTCTGTTTGTCTTGCAAATGTCTTCAGCGTGAGCACTTGCTTCAAGTTCTATTTACTCATCCAGATTTCCATTTTTGCTTTTTTTTAAAATTTTTTTTAATTTTAATTTTATTGGGAAAAACATATTGGGGGTGAGGGTTGGGGGCAGAAGGGTGAAGATGGGCAGGGATGCAGTTGCAGAGCTGCACAATTTGGTTGCCGAGGGGAGCAGGTGAAGGAAATGAAAGGATCCAGTGGGGACCAGATGCTACAGGAGAATGGTAAGCATTTTCCAATGGTAATTAAACCAACTGTCTTAATGATTTGGGAACTGGATGCAGACTCTCTGGCTTCTTTATGCTGAACAGGGGTGTTGTTATGAAGGGGGAAAGGGAGGACACTTTATCACCTTACTGGTGGTCTTGGGTTAAAGCTGCTTGACTTCTTCTTCTGTTAGAAGATATTTTCCTGTCATTTGCTCCCCTCTGGACTGCAAAGTGTTTTCCCAGGTGGGTCCAGTGGGGATGACTGGTTGAACCCAAAGGCTCCATCCTCCTTTGCTTCCTTAGCTGGTAGTTGTATTTCCTTTTTGTCACTGGGACTAGGTTCAGGGTTAGGTCTGGAGTAAAACTCAGTGTTAAGATTACCTATAAGGAAAGGAAGCAAACCTAGAGAGAACAAACTTGTGAGTTACAAATAGAAGGGCTTTGGGGGTGTTGCTTTCAGGTTCACTGAGGGAGAGGGTGGCGAAAAGTAGCCTAGATAAAATTCTCTGAATACCTAGGCATTTTTTTCCCCACCCAGGGGTCAGATGGCACAATCTGGGGACTGAGGAGCTCACCCTGAGGGCCGTGATGGCTCGCCCCGGGCATTTTTGCTCTTTTAACTTGCCTTCCCCCTTATTGGCAGCCAGTGAATGCATTTTTAGCATTATTGTGAATGTTGCTTTTAGCGTTTAGTGAGAATTCATGCCCTCTAGACTTTAGGGCCAGAAATTTTATGTAAGTATTGGATAGTTTAAAAATGGAGATAATGTCAGAAAGTCATTAGCTTCTGTCTTTTAGACTTTTTTCTTGTTGTTGTTATGTGCCGCCGAGTCGTTTCCGACTCATAGCGACCCTATGCACAACAGCCCTAA